TTACACCAATAGCGACGCTGCTCGACCCGGAAACGGGAGCCTCAGAGCTGCGCTCTAAAATAAAGTTTATATATATCCTGGACTCTATTGAAAAACAGCTCAGTTGTTTCAACAATGTCACTGGGTAACAAGTTCCTGTCATTTGTAGATCGCAGAAAAAATTAACATCTAAACACATCAGTTCTACGCTTGAACGTAGAAAATCTTCCTCAAATTATCCTTCCCAGGTCAGGATTTGTACAGGCTTCAAAGAAAACAATTCAAGGGTTTTCAAGGACTTTTAAGGACCTGTGAATATATTTTTAAAGACCACTTCCAATACTATATCTAGTAAATTTATAACAACATTTTAAAATGCAATGCGAAAATTCTTGACTGCACGACGTCTATAGGCAAAGGCGCATTCACCAAAGAGGTGCTAGTAAGCGGTTCAGTAGAGCTACTGCAGCTTCTCCTTGGCTTCTGGGTTGATGTTTAGAAGTTCTTGCGTCTTCGCTTTTGCCATTAAGACACAAGTATTTTCTCGTAATCCTGTTGAAATATCACCAGGAAAGTAAAAACTACTATACAAAAATAATTTATTTTTAGACACATTGAACTCCGATACATCCCGAGTGAATTGAGCTACATAGTAACGATTCTGAAGTTGGTTTCTAGTTGTATTTAAAAATTCCAGCACGTTGGCTGGATGGTGGTATTCTAAATTCTGCAAACACACTAGGTAAAAACCAGAAGTAGCTGTACGAATAAATCAAAGGTAAAGATGGCACTGGCAAACCAGCTGTTTTACAAAAAGCAAATAGCACGAAATCTCTTTTTTTAGGAAATCTCTGGGTATTGCTGAAAGACTCGGCTGCTTTGCAACGTGGAACACCAATTCTGCTCCTTTTTTTTTTTGTCCTTATATATATATTAACCCCCTCCCCCGTGCCCAATGTTGGCCCTCGACATATTGGGGATGGGCTATCTGGCCCGAACTGTTCCCTCTGCTTTCTTGGTGCCTGTAGTCGTCGTGACCCAGCCACGACCGCCGAAAGTTGCACTTCCCAGGCGTCCCGCACACCTTAAACCTACGTCCACCATGTGTAGCATAAAACAGACGGGGAACAAGCAAACCAGGAGTAGCTAGTAAACAGTATGGAGAACAAGGCAAACGAGGGGCAAGGTTGCAAGACGGCAGACTGGCGAGACCGAATTCGGAACCACCGGGACTGCTACGACTCTGGCCAGGAGCTTAACGGGCATTCGCTAAATCTGTCTAAATTTGCCATATAAAAAAATAACTTCCTCATTAAAATTTTGAAATTTCTGTTAACAAGTAAAAAAATAATTATATTTTAATATTGTAAAAGAAATCCCATTATTGCAACAAAAAAATTTAATAAAAACTGATCATCATCGGAAAATTCTAGGGTTTTCAAGCATTGCTTGAAATTCCAGGGCTTTCAAGGTCTGGGAAATGCCCTTTTCAAATTCAAGGGTTTACAAGGTTTTCAGGGACCCGTACTAATCCTGTACGTGACACATAGGTAGGTTCAGAAATATATTTATATTTACAGATGCCAGAATAGTTATACAAAATATGATATAAAAAGGTTCCCATTGCGCTCGCATACAGAACCCTTCCAGATTTGGAGTAAAACTCGGAATAAAAATTAACATTGGTATAAATTTGGCTTTGCTGTGAGTCTAACAATAGAAACTAAATGTGCAGCAACATGTCCCAATAAATCTAGCAAATTAAAAAAAAAAGGAGAAAAAAAAAGACAATAGTTTTTGTATGAGGACTTACAACAGCTGTTATAGCAAGACGCCACAGTTACAGCAGTTACGGTATTAAAGGGCAACTCCACTCAATTCCGAAGATTTCGGGATAATGAGCGATTTCGAATTAAAAAGCCCTAGTAAAAGCCGCTACGTCGTTTGCTTCGCAAAAAATGGGATATATATTTTTAAATCTAATTTATACACGAGCGGAAATCGAAACCGAAACTTCGGCTCCGTCCGGCAACACTGGCCTCGGGCCGCCAAGAACATGGCCATCACGTGGTACGAGATGTCACGTGATCCTCGGCCCAACGACGGGCGGGATTGGGGTGGGCGTGTGCCAGGCGCGAGTGTCGTCTGCACCGCACTCTTCACCACGTTTTGGTGTCTACGGCATTCAACGAAGTCTGCACAACTGAGGCATAAGTCTGCGCATGTGGTGTCCGTAGTGTGGACGAAACTCCGAGAGACAATAATCACAAATGGTGAGACGACGACGGTGGTTGTGATGCGGAAGACGGCGGTAACGGCGGGACCACGGTGGGCGGCCGGACACCTCCCAAGAAGTGTGCTGCACAGGCGCGTTACACCAATCACGTGGACACCGCTGAGCGCCGAGAGGCAACGTTGCTGACGTCATGCGCCACGCTTGCCCGGAGAAGTAAAAACAAGCAAAAGGGGGTCATGATGATGACGTTTAGCTCAATGTTGGCTCCGCCCATGCCGTAGCCTTGACTGCGCTGTTGGTTGTGCCTGAATTCGCCCGCTCGAGTCAGCCGATTTCGGCAACTTGGCGGGTTGCAAAGTTTGCCAGACCATTTAAGAAGCATTTAGGCAGAACTGTGTCGTAATATTTGACGTGTGGTCTTCCTAGGCGATACTGAAGAGGACTGCATTGTTTTTTCAAAACCAAAAATCAAGCGGAGTTCCCCTTTAGGCACAAAATATGGAGTCACAAACATGTTTTATCTGATATTAGACCCAACATTAATTGCTGTCATAAATTACACTTGGACATTGTCTCCACCTCTGCCTGTGAGTTACAGTGGTAGGCCCTAGTCTTTATCTTTTCTGGTATAACTTAAACCTTTATTTACAACCAACAGTCTGGTTTTTCAACTGTAAAAAAATAAAAACAGATAGTGATTTTTATTTATGCAATGTCTTTGCATAACACACCACCCTTGGCCTCTCCCCAGCTCTCATCACCCAAGTGAGAAAAATGTCACCTTAACACAAGCCCTCCCAAATTCTAGAATCTGTCAATGAGGAAACAGCTTGACTCGGGAAATCAGAAATGCTGTACCAATTCCTTTGCCAAAAAAGCTTCCTATGCACATGCTGCCCGCATGCCTTCAAGCATCAGCCATTTCTTAAATCACTTCTCACTTGTGCAATTCTGTGTTTGCTCAATTCTAAGCAATCAAAAAGTGATCCCACTTGGAAAAAACAAGAGGGGCAGGAGAGTTGCTTAGAATATATCTTAAGAGTCGTGTATAGCCCTGCCAAGCTTTTCAAATGTGCTCTCCCTGTGTGAGTGCTGATGCAAACAGTGTGCCATCTATAGCACTGCACACAACTTGTGACATGGAGAACACCCCCCCATTTTTGGCCATGATGTGCTATTTTTTTAAAGAACATGGAAGTTAGCCCACTTCTAGTAATTACAGTGGTGACCTAGGCCGAAATGGGGTTCGTTAGCTATTGTGGGAAATAAGCGAACATTGCTGACTGAGGAGAAGTCATCGATTCTTCATCAATCCCAAATGGTATAACAAGATTGGCAGATAGCAGACTATAAAAATAGCAATTTTTAAATTGTTCTTGGTTGCAAACTGAAAGTTAGCCCACTCTTCATTTTCAGCCAATTTGCTCTCCATTTTAGGTGGGCTATCTCTGGGATATTATGGCAGTCATATGTTTTATTAAAACACCCGCGACAAGGCGGTATAGAAAGGTAAATAAACAAACTGAAAAGGCTCACCCCTTGGGAGAGAAGAAAATGTTCAAGCAGTTTTATTAATTATTTTTGTAGTGGTTATTACACCTACGAGGAAACCACCAACGAAACATACCTGGCAAAATTGATACTTTCAAAAATTGATCCTCTCAGAAATGAACTTCCAAAGAGCTTTTAGGCTGCTCGTTAGTAAAAATAGAACTGAACGCCGTGTTAATCAACCAAGTGGGAAAGAAGCAGACTCATTATCATTTCGACAGCAACCAAGGTCAGCATACAAGGAAGTGCTGCAGTCGGGTTTGATATGGACCATTCTCCACGATTCCCCTGGACAAAGACGGAAGCTCGGGTCTTTTGAGTTTTCCACTCGGTCAAAACAAAGCTGAGTGACAATGAAAAAAATATCAGCTATGTACGCAGAACTCAAGCATGCAAGAAAATTATGAAAAAAAAAAAAGAAATATCAGCAATGTTTGAAGAACTTCAGAAGCATATGCAAGGAAATCCAAACAACATGACTTACATTACAGAAGCTGTAGGGCTCGTTGAGCTTTTTTTTTTTTTTGTCTTTTCTTCCCAGCTACGATTATTTGCAGGATTTTTTCATTACTCAACTATTTCCACCAATTATTCGTGAAATTACTGGTATGTAGTATTCATTACTGAGCTCATGTATTTCCAAAAATGAGACCAGAAAACTGCTTTGTAGTTGCTTCAGTGGTCAATTCAGAAAGGCTGCACAGCAAATCACATTGGTGTATACACAAAGTCCCCGAGACAAGCAAAGGACAACATACACACAAAGAGTCTCAAACACAGCTCCTAAGCTTTCTAAGCTGTTTTTATGTTAGGGTAGCATCTATAACATTTATTAAAGCAAACTTCGAGGTACGCAAAGTGTTCTTTGGTGGGCACCACTTAACTATTTCCTGGCAAGCAATTGATTTTAAGATCCACCCAAGTAGACATACTGCATGCAGGCAAGAAAAAGACACTGAACAGAGCACCTGCTACCCAGACCTTATGCCAACCCTAGAATCGGCCCCTCTGCGGCCAATTTTATGAGTGCCTGGGGCTCTTGAAAGTTTACCTTACTCAAGTGTCCCTGTGGGGATGTGTGTGTTTCTGCTTAGGGGTGCATGAGAGCACTTTGTTTACTAGCAGCCAAGGAAAGTCGATTTCTAACCATCAACACAGAAGCCCAAAATCATCCTCACCCTTACATGTTAAAGGTACTAGCATTGCTAGCAGACATGCCATGTGGCTTCCTCACCTGATGAAATCGGCCACATGTGGCATGGTCTTCTCGTAGTTCTTGCCACCAACTTCTTGACAATGAAGTGCCAAAAAGCTGGGCTGATTCTTTTTGACCGTCTGGATATACAAATAGACCAGGGATGTAGGCCCACCAGGTGGTCCTCGGATCGTCCAAAATGTTGCAGGGTAACTCACCGCAAGGAATGCACCAATCCATCCCGGCAGAAGTGTCTGGGGCTGCCGAAAGACGAATGGCAACATACAAAAACAAACCTGCATCAAACTCTGCCTGATTGCAGACACTTTGCAAAACACACCACCCTTTTTTTGCTCTGCTATGCAAACAGGATAATAACCTTTATTTCGACCCAGTTGGCCTAGTACACCGAAATAGAGTAAACAAATGAGACTATTTACAAGTTTGCACTAGTGCTTGGCCAAAGATCATCCTTATGTCCTCTGCGACACTAGGGCAGCAGTCTCTTATGGAGCGTGTAAGGGAACGGCACAGCTGCACAGTGCGTGGAAGATTAAAAAATTCAAATGCTTCTTTGAATCTATTGAATAGTATAGCATGCCTCGCTCTAATGCAAGCTATCAAAACTGTTGATGCAAGCAGATTCGTGGCTAAGGCGAAGGTCACGCATTTCAGGGGGAATGCAGCTCGCTAAAACTTGACAAGCGCGCTGTAACGCGTTTTTTTTTTTTTGTTGTTTTTTTTACTTTAGCGTGTTTAGCTGACCTCGAGTCGACTTCCGCGGGGGCTAACAAGCCGAATCGACTCCACTGGAAGCTACCCGAGTGCAACCGCCGCCTGTCGACTCAGCAGCGAGGCGAATAACACGGGGCAATAACAGAGTATATTTTTATCTCGGTATCTGGGCCGCGGTAGTACGCCTCCTCATCGATGCAAGCATGACTGAGTCCCATTAGTATTCCTTCGCTTTGCTTGTACTTGTTTCTTCCGGCAACGCCGCGAGAGCGGCAACCAGCAAACAAACTGCGCTCTGGCGCAGCTTCCCTGCACGTGAGCCGAGCACATTGCGGAGAGCCTCTCCGCTGAACACGCTAATAGCTCGTAATTAGCTCGCAGTCACTCCAGATCGAGCGAGGAACGCAACATCCTCGATTTGCCCTGTTCGCTTCAGAATCCCCGCTTCGATTGGCCACCCGCAAGCAAGGCAGCGGGATTTCAGACCGTCCGTTCCTCGATCCATCCCGCTATGCAATGAGCGTAGAGAGAGGAGTCGCGATAACTGCACGAGGCGATTCAAGCGCGCGCATGCGTTTATTGTCTCGCGCTCTAATCCCTCTGCACACAGCCAGCAGTGTTCCATACTTTAAAAAAAAAAAGAAGAGAAAAAGAGGGGGAATATCAAGTGCAGCCAGTGCAGCGCTCCCTCACCTCTTCAAAGATGGATCCTACATTGGCGGTGACTAGAAGTACCGGTATGTGATCGCCCATCACTGTCCCCGTCCGTGCTTCCTGGTGTTGCTGTTTCCGGAAAACAAGGACGTTCACGGGAGACCGTCCGAAGCTCCCATGCCGGACTCCCCGATCAGCCGACGGCAGATTCGTTCATGTTCGCGGCCGACTCGACCGAGGTCCTCTCTTCCAAGTAGCGGAAGCCACACCAGCCACACGAACTGTACGAACCATACCACCGTGAACCGTACCACCATACCCCGCCCACTAACAGTGACGTCGCTGACGTCAGGGACCCCGAGCAACCGCGCGCTTGCGCCCTAGCCCTATGGCTAGCCTTTGTTTTCTTCTTTTGCTTTGAGCACCGGCATGATCCGGTGACTCCTGAAGCGTGCGTCACGACCGTGAACGGAAGACGTGAACGGCGCACAGCGGCCTGGCGGCCGTGCCTGCTTCGTTTGCTTGCCGCGGGATGCGTACGTCGAAGCAGGACTCCCGTCGCTTTGCGGCTTTGCGTCGCTCGGTCGCTCGCGGCTCCACTTCGAGCCGACGCCGCCGGCGGCGCCGCTAGCATCTGCCGCATCTTCTCTTCCCGCTGCGTTGCCGGAGGGCCAGCGCGGCACGGGCCGGACTGACCGCACGCAAGAATAGAAAAAAAAAAAAATAAATAAATAAATGAGGGAACCGAATAAACAGAAAAAAAAAAAAAAAAACATGCCAACGCACATCATAAGATAAGCGTGCCCCCCCCCCCCCCCCCCCAAAAGAAAAAAAAAATGCAACACCGATGGTAAGAATTAGATTTGACATATCAAGCTGTAACTTTTCTCAAATGTCTTTTACTGGTCCAATTAACATATTAAAATTTCAATACGTTACTCTGGAGTGCAGGTTCACGCTTCTTTTGCAAGGGTTGTGGCGACGTCAAAATGCCGATCTCCGATTGAAGGAGTAGGAAACCTCAAGGTAGCTTGGTTTGAGGTCTATCAACCATCCCACAATCAAAGCCAATAAGAACTTGGCGTCGTTCTGAAGTCGCTGCGACCCCTGTGCAAGAAGCAGATGACTTAAAGGGGCGATGCAACAATTTTTGTACTTAGAGCAAATAGCACTTAGAACGGATCTCTGACGTTAATGACCTATGAAACACGCGTTCGTTTTTCACCCCACGCCAATAGAAGTCCCAGAAAAAAATTTAAGAAAAATGAACAGCGTTCACCCCCTCAACTCGCAGCCAGAACAAGTGGCCACGTGATCTGGAGCCGATTATATGCCGCCAATGTTGATCAAGCCACGCACTGGGGTTGGCAAAGCACAGGACACGTGCTGAGTTCTAGACATTGTTATTGCTCGGCTATTGTCGTCGTTGCAGCGATTGGACACGGGCCACTACCCGAATGCTTCTCGAGCTAGTAACTATAACGAGCCCAAATCGAGTGACCACGCAATGCTCGGGTCCAATCTATGAACCGCATTCAAATATCGTCATCGGGGTGTACTGCAATCCCCACGTTACGTCATCAAATTTTGCAAAGGAGAGATTGAATGAAAATGATCGCTTTTGTCCTTGATGTTACACCGCAACAAAGGAGTTTCTTGGCCAGTGGCGTTGCGTGCTAGTATCCTTGAATCCCACTAGTGCCAGTATGCTTGTGTAAAGTAAAAAACAATCGAATTGAATATCACTGCACCGCTCCTTTAAGTGGGGGGGGCTATGAAAGACAGCGGGACGAAGGGACCAGGACATCACCACCTGCTGCGATTAATCGGCTGCGCGCGTGGCGCTCACCAAACGCTGCAGGCAGCTATGTCCTGGTTTCTTCGTCCCGCCTCATCCTGCATAGCCCCCCTGCTCTCCGCATAGAATTAGGATGATAATTCAAGAACAGATTTGTTTCAATGGTGGAGCGGCCCAGCTTATTCACAGATGGCGCCAATGCCGGCAAGCGCAGACATTGGGGGCACTTGGTGTCACCAATGCCGGCGAAAATACGCGTCTCATGTCTCGAGACAAACCAAATTGCTAAAGATGCAGAAAGCAAGAAAAAATTATTAAGGGTATGGTGCCTGGAACGCGTCTCCGACTGGTGTGTTTACCACGTCTAAAAAAGTGCTTCCTCGATTTCCGCCTGATGACGTCATACAAGTGTCATGCTGTCGCCAGTCGCAATCCCGGCGGCGTCCCAACAGCTGTGGTGTATGTGGCAGACGCCTGTTCTGCTGCAGGTCGCTCTCCAGTGTCCACAGAAGTTTCAGCAGCCACAAGTTGGGACGCCATGACTACAGCGACACTCGTGTTTGGTTGTGCTACTCGCAGCCTTCTCGTTAGCATTTCTACGACCAACCGCCAGGATCGCGGCATGCAACAGCATGACACTTGGGCTCCTATGACGTCCTTTGTTGCCACTTCGGGACCACTTCTGATGTGTGGGCAGCATAGCACACAAAACATACCAGTCGAAGACACGCTTTAGGCACCATAATAAGGGTAAGTGATTTGTAAAGCAGCATTCAGCATCTTTATTTATTTGCCGTGTTGAAAACGCGAGCCGAGAATTGAATTATCAGCTTGCGTTTTCGCGGATATCGCAAACACGAATTGAAACGCGCGTGGTTCAATGCGAGGTCAGTCCCCCTGCTAACCTTAGTGACCCTGGGCGGCTTGCCGACATTGGTGGCGCCATCTATGAATAAGCTGGGCAAACATAGCCGTCCTCGGAACTCCCTCCGACAGCTGCCACTCTACCATTGAAAAAAGTTTGGGCAGTTTGATACTCTAGACCCATGTTACGGATAAAAAAAAAAAAAAAAAAAAAACGGCGAGGGATGGCCAAAAAAACACGGTTTTCATGTAAGCCTCGTTAAAGTGAGGTGCTGGAGAAAACCAGCCTTCTGCGTTGAGTCCTTACTTCAAACTCTTTTGTTTGTGTTTTGTCCATTGAAAAGTATACGGGAAGCACCTCAGCACGCACCCCGTATCGCTGCGCCACAGTGTTCTTCGCAGCATAAAGGCCATCTGCTTTTATCGCTGCTACCATGGCAACACACGCCGAATGACCTTTTTGGCAGCCCCCCCCCCCCCCCCCTGCGTTCATGCCGCTTCGCGGCGACAGTCTCCGGCTGCGCATTACAAAACTATTAAACTTTGGCTAGCAGATGGAGTTTGGAAAATCGGCATTCGTTGCCACGGTGACGGCGATTAAAGCAGACGGCCTTTATGCTGCGGAAGAACACTGCGGCACAGCGATAAGAAGTGCGTGCTGGGGCCCTTCCTGCATGCTTTTCAATAGGTGGAATGCGAACAAAAAGAGTTTGAAGGACTTAACGCAGAAGGCTGGTTTTCTCCAGCGCCTCATAATTTGACAAGCCTTACACGAAAAGCATATTTTTAGACCATAGTTTGTAGTTTTTTTTTTTTTACAACATGGGTCTAAAGTATTTATGTATCATAATTAGTTATTGAATTATCATTTTAGTTCTATTGGGAGTAGAACCGAAAGCTTAGTATGTTAATTGGACCAGCTATAGACGTATTTAAAAACTGATTTTTACAAGCCATTTTGGCAGATCTCATGCTATAAAGCAAGTTGGGAACATCGCACAAAGAGAGTTAAAATTTTCATCGAATGTGCGCCGAGTAGGTCAGTTTCACCTTGTGAAATTTCACGATGTAGTTCTTTTCCTGTAAAAAATGAGAGCAACAAACTTGCCAAAGTCAACGAAGGGCACAATCGCAAAGTCAAAGTCAATGTAGGGCGCACCCCAAGCAAGCAAGATGGCGGCACCTTGAGGCCGTACTTGAAAACGTGTATAGTGTACGCTAGCCGTGAGGTAACAAAAGCATTGATCGTCTGCTAACGTCTCCGCCTTTCCTCCTTGCCTCGTGACAATGCTGTGCATGCGCACTTGCGATCGATCTCCCCAGGAGACGTCCGCCGTTAAATTGTAGACGCTCCCCACGTATGACCCATGGTTTGCAAATGCTCCCCATGTATGACCCTCTCTTCAATCTAGGCTCTCTAAGCAACGCTATTAACTTGGGACGCCATCTCCCGATAAAAACAGCAGAGAGACAACAGAATGTGTCGTCTGCTCACTGTGCCTCATGGCACCACAAGTAAATCGCGTCGCTAACTCAGTCATCTGCAGACCCCTTTTTACAAAAGAAACAAGTCTTGAAACAGTAAAACTGACCCGCTCTGTGCACATTTAGTGAAAGTTTCAGCATTCTATGTGCTGGCACCGATTTTTACGGCTCGTTTTGCAGTGTCCGCTTGTGCTACCCTATATTTACGAGGAATTTTGTATTAAGTGATACATGGTATTCCTAGGTAAACATAAAAAAGCAATGGCGGAACTTCAAGGATTCAAGGTTCTCGAGAAAAGAGAACCATGTTTTTTGGCCCGGGTAAATAAACTATGCATCGCAGAATGCTCAAACTCCGTGAGAATCTGACGCTTACGGTTGGGATAGAATGCGAAAATTTGAGAATGTGACGTTGCGTCGATAAAAAAATAATTAAGAAAAACAAACTTTCTCTATGAGCCGACGTCCACCTAAGCCTAATTTCGTGAAAAAAACATTGTGGGCGCCTGCAAGTTCTATTTCAATGAAACAAGTTTATCAGCAAGAGAGAAAACAATATTCTCTTTCTTGCTGACAAGTGCTTTTCACTGATATAAATCACACGAGCATTCACAGGTGGACATCGGCTCATAGAGAAATTTTGTTTTTCTCAATCATCTTTTAATCCAGACGTCTTCATCTCAAACTTTCGTGTTTTATTCCAACCGCTAGCTTCACATTTGCACAGAGTTTGAACTTTCTCCGATGCATGGTTTATTTATCCGGGCCAAAAAACACGGTTCTCCTTTTTCGTAACTCCCTTCCGGTTGACCAGCTTCAATGAGCAAGAATGAGCAGCGCGCATATCTTAGTCTTTCTCGGTAGAAAATCAGAAAGGCGTGTTGAAAACCAAATGCAAGAGATTGATGTGTCTTTCTAGACTACACAACGCCAAGAAAAAGCACCGCTTTTTGATTTCTTTGGTGAAAGTTATGTAGCCCTACCCGACGGCCCAGTGGAGACTTGTGTACATGGGAGTAGGGTTGTGCGAATATTCGAAATTTCGAATAGTAGTTCCGCATAATACACTATTCGATATTCACTTCGAGAAGAACTGCACTATTCGAGTTTTTCGAAGTGTTGATTGCCGCGGGTTGGCCCCGTTGAGTGCGCTTCTTACCAAGCACCGGTGCGCTGCGGAGAAGCAATACCCGCGGAAGCGAGCTTCGCGGGTGTTGCTTCTCCACAACGCACCGGTGCTTGGTAAGAAGCGCACTCAACGGGGTAACCCGCCGCAATAAACTTTGAAAAGTATGAATATCGTAATTGGGTGCTTGGAAGTAAAGCATACATTCAAAGCGGGATGGTGCACCTGTGCCGACTGTATTTGAAAATAAATGAAAACTTTGTGAATGTGTATATCTACATTAAAGTAAAAGTTTTAAAATTAAACTGTTATGCAAGAGTATACTATGTTAGGCAGAGATGCCCTTACAAGCTGCGTTCATCATGCACAATTCATTCTTTTTTAACTCGAGATTAAAGAAAGAAAATTTTATATAGCAAGATTTGTAAATTAACTCCATTGGGTATAGTTGGCCATCTCTACAGGATTCATTTCATGTCAAATTCGTCGTTTACTTGCCATCCCAAGACACCAGACCTTCTGAGGTCACAGTTCATAAATATAGATAGATTAAACTTAGCTTATAAATGAACAAGTGGAACAACCTTCACAAGTTTAGCTGGGTTTTCGTCTAAGCATTATGCAATGGTAGTGAAAGGCGTGGAAAAACTATTTGATATTCTAATCGACAATATTCGGCCAAAACCACTATTCACTACGAATTCGCTTCAAACTCAAAATCCACTATTCGCACAAGATGATGGGAGACATTCAACCAAGTTAGACGCCTTCAAATCAACTGAGGCATTTGTAATTGTTCATGTTTTTCTCGCACGGGAGACCGTAAGCATGCACCAGCCAAAGTTGCTTCGTCAACTGCAAGTTGTCGCCGCAAGTTCAAGCTAGCCAAAGCAAAACTAGTATGCTACGCCAGTCGGATATGGTTGAAAAAGGGTGTGAAGGGTTGTGCCGCTTGTGCTCATGCCCAGCAAACAAACAAGCAGTGCATTTTGAATGAGTATTGCGATTGAGACAATGTCGACCTACGACGGCAATCCCGTGAAAGATATTCATGTGGATATATGCAGTAACAGATGCGGATTTCAAAAGGTTATTTTAGACACTAGAACTCTGGCGACAAGGCAAAAAAAAAACTACTTAGTTTGGCGTCCGACTTCCTGCCAATCATGCGACACTCCTGGGGACATATAATTTATTAGAACTGTTGCAGACACACACAAGCTTTGCTGTGCTTGACGATGCGGGCGAGTAATAAAATCAAGAATGGTACCAGCGGTTTCACGCTACGTTTCACGTCAGTTGCTTCAAATGGGTCATGAACAGACGCTTTATTGCATGCTGCAAAAGAAAAATCTGTGGCTCTCGAACTTTGAGTGAAATTGATGTGGAACCAAACCCCAGGTTCGGCTTCATGTCAAAATATTCCTCCCAATCTCGAGTCTTCTATTGAGGCATGGCAGATGATTTGCCGCATGAACTCTCAAAATGTTTATTTTGAGTTTGTGGGTTGCTGTTGGTATTTGTTCAGGACACTCACATAAACTGTCTGCTCAAAAGCACACATGCACCCGAAAATTAGCGTCAGCAAGCGATTCTGCACTAAGATAAATATTAAAAAAATAAAATAGCAGTTGTTATTTTAATTAATAAATATTTTATGGAGTACCAAGTTTGTCCACGTTGTGAAAACCTTGGATCTGGAAATTGAGCCGGCATTGCTTCAGGCTAAAATATAAATTTATATTTTCCAAGTCCGAGAGTAGCGAATACTATTAATTAATCTTTCAATCAATCTTTACTTGCATAAGAACTCGAGTGTAATTCATTCGATCCATTTTTTTTCCTGTCTAGAAGGGTTGGATGTGTGCATCCTCGATTGTAAAACTAAGCGATAATGTATACAGGGGCTCTGGAACCGGGGGAGCCGTGGGGGCAGTTGCCCCCACAGGTTCTAAACCAGTGGGAGCATGCCCCCACACTCAAAGCTGTTCCGACCCTCCGCCCCCCTCTTCTCCCCTCGCACCACCTGTGAGGCTGTTGCATGCTGAAGCTCCACTCCATAGGCGACGAGGCACCACAGGCTAATCCGACATGAAAGACAAACCACACGCATAAGTACATATATATATATATATATAGAGAGAGAGAGAGAGAGAGAGGGAGAGGGAGAGAGAAGTGAACTACACAATGTGACATGAGCCCCTAGATGTTGCCCCCACACTTCAGATATAGTTCCGGAGCCCCTGAATGTACACCTAGTGCCGAGCATGAAATCAACGCATGCATGGCAGAGACTGTCTGCGCTCGAAGGCCGTAGCGTCTTTCGTTTCAGTAAGATCTGCCACAGCAAAGTTGCGCGGTCAATTGCAAAATATTACGACATTTTTGCAGCCAATGGATGAGCAGAACGTAACAAATGACCGATTGAATTGCAGAACGCACAAAACTTTGTGGAGATGTGGCCTTTTAAAAGCACGCAAACAATACCCAAACCGGAAGGATTTACGGCCCGTGTCATGGCAGACCGGAAGTGGTTTAAATACCATGTATAAAGATACAACCATACTGTGTTACAAAACTTGTTTTTATTAAAAACGTAGACACCATTGCGCACAGATACTGGAAAGATGAAGCACAATGCATAAAACAACAAAAAAAAATGTTGATTTCCACATTTCGTACAGTAGCTCTAACTAAAGGATAAAAATCATGCCCTAGACACGCACCATCATGATGCAATGTCCTCTATGGACCTGTATGCAACTCTAAAATAACAGGCAGCGTCAAACAAATTCACGGAACAGTTCAACTACGCTCTCTTTCCGTCAGGCATAATAAATAATTTATCTCCCCGCCTCCTCCTCCTCCTCTCATAGTACAAAACTAAACCCTCCAGCGCAGTCTCTGGGGAAGACAAAGAATGGTGAATGTCTCCATTGTCGCAAAGGCACCTGTAAGCTTGGCAACTAACGCCTGGTTCCCTCCCGTCACAGCAGCACCAGCGGGACTGCTAAGCTAGGTCAGACGCACGATCCCGTGCCGGAGTTTGCGTCCTTGTTCTGGCTGGAACCCGCTAGCACTGTCAAGCACCGCTGTGGCCCTTGAGGGCCTAGCCTAGAAGGCAGCCCGCCAAACGTCTTGGCGACGGGCGGGTGCGGCAGGCTGGGACGGCTGGCTCCACGACCTGGAGACCGTCGGCGGCCAGCGACGCTAGCAGCAGCCTCTGCTTCGGGGCTCTTCCAGACGGAAACGTGCTTCGGCTGGAGAGAGGGGGCAAAGGTGGGGCACTGGGGCGCCTTGTCTGCAGTCGTGCTCACCTTTGTTCTTCTGCAGTGAAACAGTGTCCAGGTAGTCCTCGGCCACTTGACAAAACAGGTCGGCTGAAAAAAAAAGAGAGTGCCACGACGTTTGAGCAAGACCTAACCAATGGCAACCAGACAAGAAAGTTGCTCAGCTGCCCCCGGGTAGGTATGGATAGCACCTTCGAGGAAACCTTGAGACCTCACCTAATTTAAGCTATCCAGACATGCAGCGTGTGAAATGGGACTTTACACAATTACTAATGTCTGCACGATGCGAGGCACTGACCAAATGCCTCCACCGGCAGTTTCGACACTGCTTCACCTATCTATTTACACTTAAGGTCCTTTTGGGCATTACATAGGGGCAAATGAAAGTGCCAAGTGGAAAGAACATTATAGTCAAGTGAAGAAAAGAAAAATAATCATATGGTTTGCGTAAAAAAATCTAAACAAACTTTCAACGAACAAACATCATAGAGAGCAAAAAAAAAAAACACTTAAAGGGCAACTCCGCTCAATTCCGAAAAATTTAGGCTTCCATGTGATTCACATTCACAAAGCACTACTAAACAATTCTACGTCTTCAAATTCGCGAAATGTGGAATATTATTTGTGTAATCCTAATTTAAACATCAGCAGATACCGAAACCGAAACTTCGGTTGCGTCAGGCAACATTGGTCTCCGGTCGTCAGAGTCATGGCCACGTCACGTCGAACCACGTGGTCTTGTGACGTTCGGGAGGGAGCGAGAAACAGGACACGCAACGCGGGCAGGCCTTTTTTTTTTTTTTATTGGACGCGGGAAGGTTGCTTCGCACGACGTGGACGGTGATGGCCTGGGGGAGAGGGGGAAGGGGAGACGACGAAAGAGAAGGGGAGCGGAGAAACAGACCGATAAGCGTGCAGGGCAGTGCAAACTAGCACATCCGTGTTACGGTGATCACATGAACGCCCGGTCAGCCAACACCGGGAGGAGAAACTCATGACGTCATTGCTCAATTTCGCTCTGAGAAGTAAAAATAAGCAAAACGTGAGAATGACGTAGTCAAGCCTCTGACGTAGTGGTTCAACGTTGGCCGCTCCAACTCCGTGGCATTGACTGCGCTGATGACTGCGCCTCACGCCGCACGCTAGAGTTGGCAGATTTCGGCGACTTGGCTCGCTTGAAGGTTTGCTGGCCAGTTCATTCAATATATAAATGGAATTAGATTGTAATATTTGACATGGGGTCTTCCTATATGATACTGAAGAGGGTTACTTAGTTTTCTAAATATCAAAAATGAAGCGGAGTTGCCCTTTAAGGGACGCACAATGCACAACAGAACTTCATACATCACTATATATTATTTAAGTGATCAATGTGGTTTTTCTGGGCAGGCTGTTCCATTTGGAAATGGAAAGAACAAGAGGGGAGTTTTCAAAAAAGTTAGCACCATATTTTCCCCGTGTATAAGTTGCGGTTTTCAAACATTTTTGTTGGTGCGACTTATACAATGATGCGACTTATACAAGATTTTTTTTTTTTTTATTTTCGAGGTGCAACGGCAATTTTTTTTGTACGCTGCACACCATCTTTTGTAGAGCACCATAACTACGTAGTCATAGGTGGTGTTTCCCCCTCCGGGAGGCATTGCTGTCGCCGCAATATTTTGACTCGGAATGTGAGGTATTTTAATTTTTATGAATTCCTTGAAGTAGCTCAATGTGGATAGGCAAGACAGTGAGAATAAAGCTTTTACAGCATGTTATTGACGTTGCCTAGTTAAGCCATGGTTCCGTATTCTTTTGCTTCGTTCAGTCCAGAAACACTGAAAAGCAAGTGGGCTTACTTTCAGTGGGCTTACTTTCAAGATGGCGGCGCCCTTTCTTCAAGGGCGCCGCCATCTTGAATTGTCGTCACTTCCAGTATGGGCGAAAACATTGTTTTGCCGTCGCCACGCCAATAGAATGCATTTAGGAGAAAAGCGTAACCGTCACCCATCATCGTTTTCTCTTCCCTCTATTTTTTTACTACTTGCAGGTTGAAACGTTTTAATACTTTTCGTCGCCCATACCGGATATGCCTACTTGGCGGTCGGGGGCGAGAGTAAGCGGAGAAGGTCTATACACTAATGATGGGCTGAACTTTTGACGAATCGAAAATTCGGCGCCGGATCTTGGGATTCGGCAAAGCCAAACGTTTGCCGAACTTTTCAAAAGATTCGGAAAATATTCAGGAAAAATACATTGTTAACAAACTTAACGTTGATATTTAGTTTTTTCCGGCAAAAAAAGGCTTAATGTTTTTAGTTTTTTTTAAACTTAAATGCAACATGTAATGTGTATTGACACAGTTATTACTAAATAAGGTTATATTCTACAAGATAATTGTATTGGTGTCATTTTTGTGTGTTTACTGGCAATTTTAGTGACTGCTTGCAGAAGTGGCGCGACAACGAGGTTGGGCAGGAGCGGGCATAGTCACGAATCACGGTACGAAAGTTTCGGTTTCGAGGCATCATCAGCGCAAGCCACTGATCTCTCTGCGTTCTTGCTTTCTCTGGGAGTCACCGTTTCGTGCGAAAAAACGAATGCAACGGTTGCTGAACCTTCACCAGAAGAGATGATATTATTGTAAATATGCATGTTTTTCGATCTTAGTCACTTGATGCCAATTTGCATAATAGTGTGTCCCATATTTGCAACGTCTCATTTTTAACCTTTAACCAGTTTCTAGTGTTAGGACACACACGGACGTTTCGGAAGATGGGATGAGTTAGGAACGTCGGATGTGTAACGTCGAGAGTGATAGTTCTGTTTTTAGTTTTATGCAGATACATGGGAAAATCGCGAAATAATGCTAATTGAAAAAGCAATATTATTTTTTTTTTTGACACACACTACTTGCGAGCCAAAAACAGGATTGTTATAATTGCGAGGAATGCTTTAAAGTACTTGTCAGTCAATGTTTCAACTTCCTCGTTGCATCACTGGAAAGGTCAAATGAAGACCACATTATCCAGAATGTATCACATAATTTGTCACTTGCACAGTGGACTGCGCAAATTACTGGTCGATCTTCTATTCTTGAGGCAGAAATTATTGAAGAGAACCACACTCGCTCACAAACGCACAGTTACCGTGTTGCCCAGTCCACACCTCGCCGTAATCGCTGGTTGTACTACACTGTACTATCGTAAACACACAACTGCACAACATCCATTTGCAGTCCATGGCCCCGTCGCATTCTCGCACGTGCGCAGACATTTGCCGAATCTTTGCCGAACTTTCTTTCAAAAGTTCGGCATTTGCCGAACTTTGCTGAATATTCGGTCCATCACTAGTATACACGCATTGCAGAATATTTTCTCACGTCTTTCTCAGTTTTCGTTTGATCAGCAGTTTTTTTGTGCCATGCTCCAGCCATGTTCCTACACGTAAAAGGAAGGATTGTGGCTAGCCAATCTTTTAGAGGTACTAAAAAAAAAGTATGTCAAGGTTTATCTTTCTGCCTGCGCATCGATGCTCGCGTCGTCTCCGGGACTTGGCCTAGGGTAGGCCTTGTGCTCCAAAGCTTGGTTTGCAAATGTCTAGCTCCTTAAACTTTCATTCGCTCGGCATACGTTGGCTCAAATAAAGTAGACTACCCCCTCATTTTACATATTTTATGTCCTTTTGCTGCGAAACACTCGACTGCCCCCGCCAGACAGCACCATACTATGGGCATTTCTCGCGAGTCGAGATGCGCGTCAAACGGTACGTGCGATCTAGCAATTGTGCGAAACTCCAATTTCGCGATACCAATGCGCGTAAACTAAAGAACTCATCGTGTGAACCGTGCAAAGAGGTGCAACTTGTACAAAGGTGCGACTTATATACCAACTTTTCCACGAAAACAGCTCAATATACGGATGTGCGACTTATACAAGGGTGCGACTTATTCGCAACTCCGGCAAAACGAACGACACCAAGCGGGAAAATAGGGAACCAGCAGGAACAAGTCGCTGTGCGCCTCTCCGTGTCTCTGGCGGCTTTCGCGGACACGTCTTGTCGACGAGGTGGCGAACAATGTAATTTGACGAAGGTCCGAATATTTCTTAAAAGACCCATGAAACGATTTTCGGACTTCCGGCCAAATAAGATGGCGTTTGGGGATGCCCCTCAACTCATACAATGTTTCCCAGGTCACGTGCCCATGACGCGCCGCGGGGTATGCGGCTTCTGGTCTTGTCCTCTCCTTAGCACTGTGGACGTTGCTACAGCGAGACTCCCCTCTCTTCCCATTAATAGGCTGCTAAGACCGGCCATTTTGGCGGTGTGGAATGCATGTTGCAAAAGAACCATGGAAGCTAGCCATCGGCACGTGCTCAGCAGTCGCGCACACAGCTATGGCCGCCAGTGAATATTTCCTATACTCTGTTTCACCGTGTGTTGTACCGCAGGAAAGGCTACAAGCGCGAGCTCCTTGCTCCATGGCACGCCTCGGCGGCACAAGCTCTCGTGCACCAAGGGCAGCTGCCACCGCCATGAGCTCGCGCTTCTAGCCTTCGCTGCGGTACAACATAAGGTGAAACGTGGTATAGTTCAAGGCAGGCGAACCAGGCGCACGAGAAAAAAAAAACGAACCACGCGGCTGCCGAAACGTGGTTTTGATATCGCGATGATCACACTGCTCGTCCGATAGCAGCCAGCCAACGTTGCTAGGAAGTGGAGCAGCGGGGAGGGGATGCTTTGACTTACTCCGGATAGATGGTGCTGCGAAAACTTCGTGTACTGAACAAGAAAATAAAACTTTTGATTTATTTGTTTATGTTGGAACGAAATCATTTCTAAACGTTACCATTAAACTGAGAATATACTTGTTCAAAAGCGATCTCAATAACCGCACCCACCGCGACGTCACAAACTTAGTTCCTATGGCCGCCGTACGTGAAGTCACGTCAAGAAATAGTTCCTTTTTGTTTTTGCAGTTACGCAGCGCATTCACAACATTTCAAGAGAAGTGGTCGTGTTTTATGGTCCTTGTACTAAAGTAAACAAAAAAAGGGTAATAAGGTGCACATTCTCTCAAAGTTAAAATCGTTTCATGGGCCCTTTAA